TGATTTCTCACTTTCCCTTTCACTGTCTCTGTCTCTGGTAAGCACAAGTGCCCTAAGGCGAATACATCTAAAAAAAAAAAAAAGAAAAGAAAAGAAAAAAAAAAGAAAAGAAAGAAAGAAAAGAAAAGAAAAGAGAAAAAAATCCTCTAGGCTGGTCGCATAGCCTAGTGGTTAAGGGAAATCAGATGCTACGCAACCAACTGCAGTTCAGGTTCCAGCCCCAGTGGCTTGAGAAACATGCCGAGCACATGTGCACGCATGCTTCAAATCCTGACAAGATCGAGAATGAGGCAGAGGGGTTTGGGTGTGACCACGCCCCATTGTGGGGTGGTTTCTCCTTCTCCCTCTCTCTGTCTGTCTAGTGAGAACATGTGTCCTCTGCAACTAAAAAAAATATATAAATAAATAAAATTCTTAATGCTTTGACAATCTATTTTATTTTGGTTTTGGTGGCAATGTATTAGCTAAAGAAGTCCCCTCTGGGTTTTGTAGACTTTTGACTTGACACTACTAGTTTTGGGGGCATTTCTTTGCTTCCTGGCAAGATTTTCAAGCTCAACTTTTTACTTTTATAGATTATGGGCCTGAGAACCCAAATCAGCCCTTCTCAAATGCTGTTTTTTTTTCCACTGGGGAATGAAATTTAGTTATCAAGCACTCTCTAATGGGGTGAAATGTCACTTCTGAGAGATACGTATGTAACAAAAACAGTGAAAACTAAAAAAAAAAGTTTTAAAATGAAATGTATGTGAAAAAAATCTAATTCAAATTTAAGTTAGAGTTTTCCTCCATAACTTCTTCTATATCTGTATTTCTTTTCCTTTTAGAGTTTCTACTGACATAAATATTGAGTCATCAGAAAAGTCATGATGCGTTTTTACATATAAAAATATGGCATGACTTTTCCAATTACCTAATATTATCCATTACTCATTTTATCCATAGTTGACATAAGAGTTGCAAAGTTAAATTAGCAATAGCACTACTAGCAATAAATCTGTGATGTTTTTAAGGCACTTGTTTGGTTTTTGGTTCTTTTCATCACTAGAATGTACACCACTAGGAATGTATAACTCGGGCCAACTGGTGGCTTGGTGGTTAACATAGCTGGATCCGTAAATTCTGGGCCTGCTGGCTTGAAAAACACACCAAGCATATGTGTGTGTGCCTGCCCAAAATTCTGAGAGGAGACTGGAGGACAAGGGATTGCTGCATGGCCATCCCTCCTGGGGAGGAGATTTTTTTTTTTCTCTCTCTGTCTCTCTGTCTTTCACTGGCTATTTATGTACCCTATAGCAAATTAAAAGAAAGGAAGGAAAGGAGAAAGAAAAAGAAAGAGAGAGAGAGAGAGGCAGAGAGAAAAGAAAGATGAAAGAAAGAGAAAGAAAAAAAGGAAGAAAGAAAAAGAAAACTATTAAGCACCACTTGTGAACAGAGCTAAAGAAGTTCGAATAACTGCCAATTCTAATCTTTGTAAAGCTTTAGATTACAACCTTTTTCAAACTGAAGGAATCTTTATTTTCTGTTCTTTAAAAAAATTTTTTTGAATTAATTGTTTTCATGAGAATGAGAGAGAGAGAGAGAAGCTCCCTCTACAGGGTCTCGTGCCATGATCTCCCCTCCCTCACCCGAGCCTTTCTAGCTGGCCCGAGATGGAGGAAAAGGGATTGGAGTGTGGCCATTCCCACTGGGGGGTGATTTCTCACTTTCTGTCCCTCTGTCTCTTTCTGGCGAGTGCACGCGCCTTATAGCAAAAATCTCTCCCAAATAAATAAATGAATTAATTAAAATAATAAAAATAAATAAATACCAGAAATAAAGAACTAGCTTTTAAGACTGGCCCAGTGGCTGGGGGGTTAAGAGAGAAAAAACCCACAAGGCTGACCACAGTTTGAATCTGTTTGAATCTTAGCCCCCAGCAGCTTGAAAAACGTGCAACAGACATGTGCATGTACCCCAGATCTCCACTGGATGGAGGAATGCAGGAAAAGGGGTTGTGGTATGACCACACTCCATTAGGGAGTGCCTTTTCCCTCTCTCCGGTCAGCACATGCATCCTCTGGCAAAACAAACAGAAGACAAAAACAAAACAAAATGATAAAACACCAAGGTCTTAGATATTACTGTTTTTGAAGAATAAGCAGGATTAAGTTTGAATGTGGATGTTTTAAGAAAAATCAGATTATTTTTAAAATCAGACCAAGTCTGAAAGCAAGTGTTTTTTTTTTTTAAATTTATTTATTAATTAATTTATTTTAATTTGACCAGAGAGAGAGGGAAAGTGAGAAAGCAAGCTGCAGAGTCCAGGACTCAAACCATGTCAGTCATGTGGGAGTGTCCAGCACCCACCAAGCCACCCACTGGTCCCCAAAAGCAAATGTTTTAAGAAAAATCAGTCTTGGGAACCAGCAGTTAGCGTAATGGCTATGTCGCTAGACTCCCACATAGTCTACCGCAGTTCACGTCCTGGACCCGGTGGCTTAAAACTCACGCCAGGCACGTGTGCGTGCATGCCCAAGATCCCGAGAGGAGAATGGAGGAGAAGGGATTGTGGCATGACCATCCACCTGGGGGGTGATTTCTTGCTTTCTGTCTCTATGTCTCTCTCTGTCTGTCTGGCGAGCGCACGCGCCCTATAGCGAAAAACCTCTCCAAAAAAAAAAAAACAGTCTTAAAGTATATTTCAATACTTCAAAAGAAGTGATAAGTCAGAAAATTATTGCTCTTGTCAAAACTTATACTTGCTTCAGCTTTAATAGCACATAAAATCATTGTGAAAACTAAATAAATATATGTATAGTACTTAGAATGGTACAAATAACTGTTATTGCGTTCTGTGAGAATTAAAATTCCATATAGCTTTTTCTTACAAATATTTCTTGCATACATGGAGAGACGGATGTCTAGCTGATTAAGCAACATTTGATATAGCCAAAGAGATAAATCAGTGGACCCACCCACATTTGAAATAGCCAATGAGAAATTAGTGGGCCCAGCCACATCTGATAGAGTCAGTAAGATGAGAATATTCGGAGGACCCAGCCAATGATAACCCATAGAACCTAGGTTAAAAATTATAAATCTGGCAGAATGCGATTGCTGGGGCCTTTGGAGCCACTCTTTCTCTGTCTGCTCAGACCCACTCCTACTTCTAAGGAGTGTCCTTTTACTTTTACTTTATAAAATACCTTTTCCTGGGGCTGGCAGGTGGTGTGATGGACTCCCATCTGGCTGACCACAGTTAGTCCTGGACCTTGTGGCTTGCTTTCTCACTCCCCCAACCCAATCAAATTAAATAACAACAATAATAATACATTAAATTAAATCATTTTTAAAAATACCTTTTCCTTACACTATTTGTGTGTTTGATTAAGCCAGAGGCCTTGGATGTGGGGCAGCTTGGATATGGGGGTTGCACACCTCTCCACAGTTGGCTGATGCAACCCAGATCTAGTCTGTCATCAGACCTGTGCTGCACCGGGATCTAACCCAGATGTAGCACATGGTGCTCTACTCTGCACACAGTGCTCTACTCTGCACTCAGAGCTCTACTCTGCACATGGCACTAGACCTTGTGTGGCACAGCAGCCTGCTCTCCCTCTAAACCTTTACCATACCTGGACTATTTCTGCCTCTAAGACACTCCCCCACCTAAATCCTTATAAAAATCACTAAACTCCACCCTAGGGCACAACTTTTCTGGCCCCCTCTCTCTTTCTCTGTCAGATCAGCAAACCTCACCCGGGAGCATTCCTAATAAAGGCTCTATATTTCTATTTTCTCATGTGGTTGGCCCATTCCTTACATATTTCATTCAACTTTTTGTCTAAAACACCAAAAACCTGGATATCATCACAGAAGCTATCCCGCAACATATATTGTGGCACGAGCCAGCCAAGAGTCTGCATCTTTAGGTTACTCCAATTTCATAGCGAAGACTCATCTGCCTCTGTTGGAAAACTTGAAGATACTGTTAGTTGCCCCCCCCCCTTTTTTTATCAGAAGCACTATTGTTGCCAGAGACTAAAATTCATGAGGGTGTGAAATCCCTTGACTTTGCATAAGAAAAGATTTTAAGAACAAGCCATTGAGAGTAAAGTAGATAAACTTAGAAAAGGGTAGATAACCCCCTGCTCCATGCTGCTCCATGGGAGGAATAGGCATGTGGGAAGAGATGTGTAGTTTAGGGAGAAGTTTAATTCCTTTTCAAAGGGAAAGGGAGAGCTGTTGCCTGAAGGAAAAAGTGGGGTGGCTTTCCTGAAACCACTGCATTTCCCATTTTCTGGTCTTATTAGGGTGGGTTCTATTATTGCCACGGTTATTCTTGATTGTCAAGGAGCAGAAGGGATTATACAGCAAGCTAATACAGTACAAAGAGGGCTTGATGACTGTAGATTAGGTAAAGGCCGTTCCAGGCTCCATCTTCGGTCATTCCAGGTAGTATCTTGGTTCTACTGGTTCAGACTGGATATCAGCCACTTTTTTTCTATCAGGTTTTAGGTGTCTGAATGTGCCTCATCTCATTTTGGAATGTCTCTCCTGTTTCACTATGGCTTCCTATCTCCCTCTCCTACTAGCCTACTCTGAAGGAATATGCTCTACAAAAAAAAATCTTCTTACTCCTTAGGCTAAGCCGAGTGCCTTGGGAATATAAAGAAAATGAATGTTGTTTCTGCAGGCTTTTGCAAGTAGTTTTTTTTTGGGGGGGGAGGGGAGAAATAATAAAAAACTGAGCCTATCAGAAAAAAAAAAAAACCTATATAAGAGCAATCTCTTCTCCAGGGCTTTCCTTCCTTTGCCATTTTCTTTGCTGCTCTGTAGAATGATTTTTTCTAGGAGATAACTCACCTTCAGCCCTTTTCATACCCCAAGTTGCTTTTATTTTGGAATCAAATGGGAGTCTCAAGGGAGAAACCAATATCAAATGACTACCTTTTGGGGGAGAAATCAAAAGTTCCACTGCCTCTTCAAAGCCTTGCTTGGGCCTAGTTATATGTTACCTTATTCTCATATTCAATTTTGTGTGCTCCTTCTCCAAGGCAGAACCAGAGGAAGAATAGGGCATAGCTCATGGAAGGACGCTAAGGAACTTGGAGTCGCTCAGTCCAACTGAAGATGTCCAGCCAAGGAAATGGTCCTGGGACCATAAATGTTGGTGTTTGCTGGCAAGCTTAACTCAACCTAAGAGGAAACAAAAGGAAAGAGACACAGAGACAAGTAGTGGAGGACTCCGGCAGCCTAAGCCTGCTGAGTCTATGCCGCCCAAACAAGCTGAGTGTCTTTATAAGGCAAAGCAACACTACATACGTGCATTTCGTGACATGCCATAGGTATAGTTGATGTTTTACAGAGACAGAAAGCAAGTGATATCAGTCTTCTCATCCTTGAAGGTTTAGATATGCTGGTGCCGTCTGTATCTCTTAGTTATGGCAAAAGCAAAAAAATTTCCCGTAATTACTTACCTAGTGACGCAAAGCCTATCTGTAGATGTGGGGAGTACATCTTTTGGCATGCATCAAAGGGGTAATGATTAAGCTATAGAGATTACACGAAGCAGAGCAGGGGTTAGTCTTTATGTAGTGGGGTCAGGATGTCGCTTGAACTCTGCAGGTGTCCCCCCAGAGCAGTCCCTGTAAATTCCACCAAATGCTCTGCCTGCAGGAAGGGTCAAGGAAAGGACAAGCCACAAGGCTTCTGCTATCTCCTTAAAGAGACATGTGATGTCTGCTCAGAGCATGTCCCCATATCCACAAAGTTTTTTTTTTCAAAACATGTCCCTACACATAAAGGTCATAGAAAGCTGGGGACACTCAGGCCACTGTCCCAGAGATTTATCCACCTCCAAGGGACACGTGAGGTGGGATCTTAGCTCTAGTAGCCTCAAGAGGTATTCACCCTGATGATCCCAGGGTGCACCAAGGAGGCCGAGAATGCTTGGCATCTAGCTCAGTCCTGCTAAAGAGTTCAGTCAAGGAGATGGTCAGGGGGCCAAATGCTGTTCTGATACGGACATTGTTTAGAAACACCTAGCTCATTCCTTCGGATTACTCACTGCCTAAGGGGATATCCCAGGCAGAGCTCTGATCCTAGTTTGCATTTTCCTACTTTTTTTGTCATTTCTTTTCCTTATAGGAGGCATGAGAAATAATCACTTAATTCCCCAAGACTCATGTCTTGGCCCTGATGGAACTCCAAAGAGAACATACTCCCCCTCCATACCATCCCTCACATTCTGCCCTAAGCACAAGTATGTCCACCCCAAAGTGGAGGACTAGAAAGGGAAGGAATAATCAACCCTTCTGTCCATCACATACTCGAAGCAGGACCTTCTTCCCCCTCAGGGAAATTGCTGGGCAAAAGGGCCCAATCAGAGTTCAAGTCCCCTTCGCCATTGTGGATATTCAACAAAGCAGAGAAAAATTTGGCAAATATTCTGACGACCTCAATAAATTTACTGACAGGTTCCAGACTCTGACCTGGCTTTTGACCTCTTGGAGGGATATATAATTCATTCTGGCTACCTGCTGTAGTCATTAAGGAAGAATGGATTTTAGATACAGCATGCAAAGAAGCAGGTGCTACATTTGCTAGCATCCCACAAGGAAATTTTCCAGGAGGAGAGACTGTCCCCATGACTGACCGTAAATGGGATTATAACACCCCAACAGGAATGAACTGGAGAGCTAAATTCCTAGAGGCTCTCATGGCAGGAATAAGACATGGGATACAAAAGCCTGTAAATTATGACAAAGTAAGTACAACTATACAGGAAAAAGGTGAAAACTCAGCCACCTTCTATGACAGGTTAGAAGAAGTGTTTAGAAAGTATACTGATCTGGACCTTACCTCTGTAGGGGGAAGGGCTCTTTTGGGACACTATCTCATTAGTCAATCTACCCTGATATCAGGCAAAAACTCCAAAAGCTACAAATGGAACCCCAAACCAATCAGTCTCTATTACTTGACACTGCCTTCATGGCATTTAATAATTGGAATCTCGAGGAGGGAAAAAGAGAACAAAGCCAGGCTTATGACTCTCACAATTGGCAAAGCCCTTGATTCCTATCAACTGTCCAAGAGTTTACCTAAAAAACAGAGAGAAAAACCTGCAGATTCCTGCTTCAAGTGCAAAAAGACCAGACATTGAGCAAGAGCCTGTACCTAACCACTTCCCAGGCCCTGTTGTTAATGTCGTGACATGGTAAATGATTTCTGGCATTGGAGGGTTGACTGTTTCCTCTCCTGAATGGGGATGGGTGGGGTGGTAGAGGGTTGGAGATGGTCAGCCAAGGCCCTCATGAGCCAAGGGGAAGAAGTCGACTACTGAGGAAACCAAGGGAAATCTATGCCCCATCCAGAGAAGTCATAACCACTGAGGGACTCCAAGTAACTCTGGATATCATGGGTAAGACAATTTTATTTCTTCTAGATACAAGGGCTACTTACTCTGTTCTTCCTTCTTTTTAGGGAAGACCCTCTTCATGAATCACGACAGCTATATCACCCCTCCCTTGGTATGCCAATTTGAGAACCAAGTATTCTCATAAGAATTTCTCATAAGAGTTCACAGCCACCCAGTCCCCCTAAGGGAAGAGATATACTGCCTAAGCTGGGGACCATCCTTTAAGTTTAGCCCTCCAAGAATTATAATCATTTAAGATTCTAATGGGGTACCAAGCCACATGGATAATAAAGTTGACCCCATGGCCTAGTGATAGGGACAACCAGAAAGGGCTATAATAGCATCCCCTGTAAAAATACAACTTAAGAACCCCTCTAAATTCCATCATTGCAAACAGTATTCTATAAGTCTAGAAGCTAGAAAAGAACTTGAACCCAAGGTATAGGAATTTTTCAAATTTGGGCCACTAAAGCCTTGTCAGCCCCCTACAATACTCCTATGCTGCCAGTACTTAAGCCAACTGAGAAATACAGGATTGCCCAAGACCTAAGGTCTCCAACCCAAATTGAACTAAAGACCACTGGCTTTGTGTATCCTCATCCTCAGCGCAATACACAACTGTCCCTATTTCCATTTGGCTTGTGCAATAACTCCTCATTCTAAATATGAGAGGTCCACATTTCCAGTTAATAAATATACAAGACTTATAGGATTTTTTTTTATTTATTAATTCACTTTACACCATCACAACACACAAATGAATTTTCCATCCAAAATACACTGTGCATTGTCTCAATCAAGTACATCCACATATATGTTCTCAGCAAATAATTTTCCAATTCTTACGTCCTGCATACCTTGCCCTTTGTCTTGCCATCCCTGATTCCCCATCCCCCACCCTCTGCTATGTCCCACCTTCC